GCAAATTGAAAAGATACGAGGCTCTTATTTTATACTCTAGCTTGTCAGTATTGGTAATTTGAGTTTATAATTTGTACGAAACTAGACTTAGTATTTTGACTTCACAAACATCTAATTTGAACCAGTGCTGCATTCAGCATACCACGTGATACACAAAAAAAATTATGTTTACCTGTTTTTAATATTTACTTTTGAATAAAGAAATTGAGTGATATATAGTAATAAAATATGAAGTATAATCTACAGTTTGATACCAAAGTTATTGACATAAATTGATGAAATAGTAGTTCAATAAAAATTTTGAATGCGAGTCAACAAACAAGATGACATGGCCTTTCATCCATGACCCATCTTGAAAGGGTTAAACACTTTTCTGTACAAGTCACTGTATTGTATTAAAAATTTAATTAAACGCCTTTACTATCAATGTATGTGAATGAACTTATTATTATAATGTATGTTATGATTCAAAGTTTTATTTTATCCAAGTTTTAAGTCCTTTATTTCAAAATAAACATTTAGAAAAGTACTTAAATCTTCAGGTGTATTGTCACATGGCCAACAAGCTATGAAAATTTTCTACTTTGGCCCTCTGTATCTTCAATAATACAATGGTAGTTGTTTAGAGGTACTTCTGGACAATAAAATGCTTACATAACATTTTGACTCGTTCATTTCAAAGTTCTCTGAATGAATGCAGTTGAAACAAGTAATAAATTTTCTCAACCCCTGACACTTGCCACACCCATCTTCACCAGATTTGTTTGTGCTTTATAGCCTACATGTAGATGTTACATACACATGGGTATACTCATTAGAAATAGCTCATTTTACACTATGATCTAACAACAGATATTTTGAAATTGGCTTGCAGTTGTCATCACAGATTTCATGTAATTGACTGTAGTATTGTTGGCTGTTTGATCAATTATAGCACTTACAGTTATTTCTTACCTCAATGTATTATAGTAAGAGATACAGTTTAAATTGTATTTCGGTTTTACTATTATATTTTAGTTAATTGTGTATTAGGTATGTTTTAAAATGCATAATTAAAAGGTTTAAACATTGTTTAAATATACATCACACTTTGTGTCCGTTCTCAAGGCTTATGATAATATGCACTGAATGTAAATTATGCTGAAGGGTTGCACATGTCTCCCAAATAAACTGTAATATGCCTTATGGGCACTGTTGACTTGTGTCAAGATGAATAATATGTGGTAAAGGCCAAGAAAGGAAAATAAAACATTACAAATTAACTGTATGTGAGAAGGAAAAGACCTGAAATTACAAAATTAACAAAAAGAAAATCTTTAAAGATATTCTACAAAAAATTAAAAAGGGATGTATTTTTTTCTATTTCCTAATTTTAATTATTTCGTCGCATTGTACATGATAATAGCTAGAGTTAGTGATATGGTATAGAAAATGAAAAATATAATATAAACTTTTACCTTAAAAGAGTTTTAGGAGGTTATACAAATGAAACTATAAGATAAAGAAAAGTATTTTTATACTTAAAATGAAAATCACCTTGAATTCGAACTACTTAAACAGTTTGAGTGCAACTAACTATTATAGATAAATATCATTGTTATTAAAAGGACGTAATTAAAATAATGTCATTCCTTGTGTAAAAAATACATTTGAATGATAACAAAATCGTACGAGGTTTTGTGAGGAACACGAGTTACCGTATGTTTTTTGCATATATATTCTTCTCCAGTCAAAGTTATACAGGCCCGGCATGGCCAGGTGGTTAAGGCACTCGACTCGCAATCTGAGGGTTGCGGGTTCGAATCCCCATCACACCAAACATGCTCGCCCTTTCAGCCGTGGGGGCGTTATAATGTGACAGTCAATCACACTATTCGTTGGTAAAAGAGTAGCCCAAGAGTTGGCGGTGGGTGGTGATGACTAGCTGCCCTCCCTCTAGTCTTACACTGCTAAATTAGAGACGGCTAGCACAGATAGCCCTAGTGTAGCTTTGCGCAAAATTCAAAAAGGTGCAAATTTAGGATTCCAGCTTGTTATTATGTTTAATTTGTCTAACTGATTGGAAACTGCAGCAACCTATTTTTGAAGTTAAAAAAATTTTAAAGTGGAGAAATCAGAGTTCAGACAATCAAATGACACAGAAAAATGAAACTTTGTTGATGTATCTTTTTGAAATTAAAAGTTAAAATTTTATATTAGAATTTGAATTATAAGCTGCATGTTATGCCACGTTTATTGGCATACACTTAAAAGAAACTTGTTTAATTAATTTTTAATGTAACACTGCAAAAGGTCATGAACAGCACTTCAACCTAGCTGTAGTGAATGAGTTAATATCTATTATATTTATATAAAACTAGAGATAATAACCTTTTCACTTCATCATTAAGATTAATGATAAAGTATTAGTGTGCTTAGATTTCTGTTGAATTATTTTAAGTTCTTACCTCATCGGGGATAAAGACACGGCAAGCAGCAACAAGCATTCCTAAGATGGTAATAGCTGTGAGGACATGTTCCACAGTTAGCACATCTTCATCATAGACAGTTAAGCCAATTAGAACTGCTAAAATTGACCCAGCAAAGAATGCCACATTTCTGATTAAAAAAAAATTTAATGAAAAATTAAAATTCTAGACAATTCATGATTCTTCTGAAGAATATTTTTTTTTTCAGTATTTTTACTGATATTACTTCATAAAGCTAGTCCTTTAATCCTTTCAGCACAGGTTCATACATTTTGTATCACTTTGTTTATTTGTTTATTCTATTGGTTAAATCATGTCCATCAGCCATGTAAAGATAATTAGCAAAACAATCTTAAAAGTCAGAGGGTGGGTATTACAAATTTATTGATGTCAGCAAAGTAAGAAGATATGAGAAATGTAAAAATCCAATGAAAGAATAAACTAGGTTGGAAAATTGAAACAATGACAGGCAGATTTATGTAGAAGAGTACCTATTCTATGAATGTAATTGTACTACTTTGAATGGCTAATGGAATTTTTAAACTATTTGTTGCTTAATTAGAAAGCAGAATAAATTATATTAGTTTTGGGACATTGTGCTCTAGTAAGTGATATTTTTTGTGTTCTAAAATGCATATTGCAAGCAGCTAATAGCACCCACTGATTTATTGCTTCGGGGATGCAAGGATTATTACTCAAATGAGTACAAAATAATGCAATTAAATCATAAAATTAAATACTCAGTAAAGGCGTTGAAAATTTACAGACAAATCTTTAGTAGAAATATTGAAAAATCTGATTTTTTTATGCACAGCAGACTTATAATGTTCTAATGTTGACAGATTTCAAGAACATGCACTTAATAATTTCGTAGTATGTACAGTTTCATAGACATGGACTTGGTCCAGTGCACTGATCCTGCATTTATAAGGTTAATCATCAACTTAGAGTAACAGAATTTTTCATATAATATAGGATCCCCATCCTCTATGTTGTCTGTGTAAACAAAAGAAAGGAAAACTTAAATAAATTCTCAGTCCTGTTCTATTGTTTGTCAGTCTTCTTGAGAATCACTTTTTTTTTCTGTCTGTTAAATTTGTGTTTATAAACTATAAAATAACTATTAGTAATAAAAAATTTTTCCATTGCTGTTGTGAGAAAATAAAATTGTATTATTTCTTTTTTTTTTAAGTCTTGTAACAGCTGGGTTCTCAAATCACACTTCGAAGTTGGCATACACGAATTTCAAGCCTGTTTACATCATTAGATGTACTTTACATTTGTTTTTGGAGCTATTAAACAAACTTTTCTTTTGATATCACATACTTGTATTTGACTTTATATAAATATCTGCTTTTACTGTCTCTTGAATTATTCCTTTCTTGAATTTTATTCTTTGTAACTACTGCTTCTCATCAAACTTAAGAAAGTTATATAAGTAGCATGCTTGTCTTCTTCAGACCCTTTTCCTGTTTTCCTTGTATCATCACTTTGTAATTCTTCTTGATATATATATATATATATATATATATATACTATTATTA